ATAAGTTGAAGACTGGTTTTCTCATCACAGATTAAAACAATTTATTCGTTTCATATATTACATTTTTCTTTCTGTTCGACCTTGGAATCAGTGATTTTTGACAAAGACAAATAATCTACACTAAAGTAAAATATATTATTGTTGACATGAGTATTTTTTGTTGCGATTATCGATCAATGATAATAAAAAAAAAAACTTGATTTTTGTTTCTTTATAAATGAGAAAAGGTCATATGTAAAACGAAGTAGCAAAATTTAATCGATTTTTTCTAGCTCCTTCTAATCTATTTCGTATTTAAATCATGTCGATATAAATTGAGTCAATTTATTTGAAGATTAGAATGTCTCTATTCATAAATCCTATATAACCTATCAAGAAACTTATACTAAGGAAAAAGTCTCTAGTTAGTAAGAAATAAAATGCTTTCTGCTTAGTTTTGGATGTCAAAGTAATTCTTATAAACCTTAGTTTACTTGAAATTTTATAAAGACTATATAATAGCTTTCACTCATTGTCTTTTTTTCAGAAATGGTTTTTCAAGTTTAATCCAAATCTTCCTTTTGAATACCATGCGTATAGAAAAGCAACAAGATTGAGTGAAAAGATCGTAAGTGTCATTTTTAAAATATTGACTGACAAAAGAAGCTTAGAAGAAAAAAATCTTTGTACGTCATGGATCTCAATGAGTTCGTAGCGAGATCAACTTATATAGTAATAGCATCGATGCTTCATTTTGACAATATTCACTAAAATTTGTTCTATTCCGCATATTGAAAACCTTTTAAACAAAGAAAGTAGCCGATTACATACCGTGACAGTAAAGTATTGCTCAAAATGAAAAGAAGACAGGCTAACGCCATACTACCACCACTAATAAGTATTAAGGATTTTTTTATCCAAGGCCATCTGTTTTTTAGAGATCAAAAATTATCGTGTCTTAGTATTTGATGAATATACCGCTAAAAACAAGGGGGTAAGTGCAGGCACCCAGCACCTGCTCAGCACCTACCAGCACCTATCAGCATCTACAGCACCTACCAGCACCTACAGCACCTGTTCGGCACCTGTACTGCATTTCACTATGAGCACCTACAGCACCTACGACACCTGCAACCACTCTTCCATTATCTTAAGTACTTTTTCAGCACCTGGTAATAAAATTTAAAGGGCAGAGCCTAAACACGAAATTTTATTACTAGGTGCTGAAAAAGTACTTAAGATAATGGAAGAGTGGTTGCAGGTGCCGTAGGTGCTCATATTGAAATGCGGTATAGGTGCTGGTAGGTGCTGTAGGTGCTGGTAGGTGCTGATAGGTGCTGATAGGTGCTGTAGGTGCTGAGCAGGTGCTGGGTGCTGGGTGCCTGCACTTTCCCCCTTGGCTAAAAGGCGCTTGTGTAAGAGTATTTGTTCTACTTGAAAACTACCGATATATTAAATAAAAATGACTGGATAAACATCTTCAACTTATTAGTCGAGACAATCAAAAAATAATAAACACGAAAGTAGTAAAGAGTCTCGTTAATAACGATGACATTGGAATAATAGAAGTCAAGATCTTTGCAAATTATTTATGAAATAGATAAGTGTTTGCTTCGTCCACTCTTCCGAGCATACATATGCACAAACACTTCAAAAGAATACCGAAACGGATAGATTTTGTGCGTCTTTGTTTACATCTGACGTACATTTCTACAAAGAAGCTTCTCAAACCCCATTGATTCGACCGCTAATTGACTTTGAAACTAATTCGTCATCTATAACACTAATTAATGCAGAAAACATTTAGTTTTTCGGTTTTTATGCTATCGGTTTTCCTCACAAATAAAAACTAAAACAAACACTCAGAAGGAGTCTTTTCTCGATTAATCAAATCTTAGCTTTTAAAAGAGTTATTTCAGTATCGTCAAAGTGGAGCGTCTTTCGAGATGACCAATCAGTCAAAGATGTATAAGATTGGATCGTTAAATCAATACTTTGCTTTTAATATATGTTCAAGTCTGTCGATCAAAAACATTATGCGTTTATCGGTCAGATCTAACTATATTAAGATCTCTTATCAATAAACATAACTTGAGACATTCATGTCGATATTTTGAGAAGGAGATGATTGACTTCATAGTAAAGTTCATTCATTAGATGTTTCTTGAAACGATTGGCATAAATCACGTCTCTTCTTAGTAACTACTGCTAATATATTTCAAATCATACGATAATTATATATTTATTTCAAGTAGTGATATTTGTTTGTTGTGATACGTTTCGTTCTACAGTTAATCTATTCTAAATTTCATCACAAAGAATTGATATCTATGATTTTTATCTACTTTGATCGCGACAATTACGCGACATACTTATAATATTCTCCTAGTATAATTAAACCAGAAATACTATCAATTAATTCTTGTACTTTATGTATAAAACGTCATTCTCTGTGAGAAACAAGCGCTGTATTAGTATATATGTATGTAATGCATTACTAAAAAATGAACAAAAAACACAATTACATCATAATGCTACAATTAATAACCAACAACGTTCGTCTATCTAAATTCATTTCATGTATTAAAAAAATGTTTTGTTAATGATTGTTTTTGCTGAATACAGTGGCAAAACATGTTTGTAAATGAATATTTACAGTACTCTCTTAATATAACAATAGTTTATCAACATAAAACAGGATAAATAAAGAATTGTGAAACGTTCATTTTAAACAACATGAAACATAATAACTAATGAGCACTATCATTATGCAACGACTAAATATAAGTGATATTAAAGTATTTTTATCATACGCTACCAGTATCAAGAGATTATAGCATAATTTGTTATCTACAATAAATGCTCTATCATCAGAATAATTATTATGAAATGTAAATTCACATTAAAATAATTCAATTAAAACTTTTCTTATATATAACATAGTTATGAATAGAAAACTAAGAAAAATAGTTGAATGTATGTCATTATTCAAGATTATTTGAATGCGCTATGATATTTTCAGAGGAACACTTCGAAAGATCTTATTTTTGCGTATATATTCATGCAACCAACAAATAATCTTATAAAATTTGAATAATCAAAAACGAATGAATAACTCAGTAAAATGTAGATACCCTATTAGTTGTTTTGAAAAAAATTAAACAAATCAAACAAGAAATTTAAAGACATTGTAAGTCAATTGTCTTTCAAATAGTTTTTGAATGCATTCATTTAGACCAATGTAAGACAAGAAATTCAGTACGATATAATCAATAATTTCAAAGGTTAATAGATTTAGTCTCTTGTTCTCATCACTACTATTGATCAAAGATATGTTCGATGTTTTGGAAAATTTTACTTAATTGTTAAAGTCTCAAATAAAAATTATGCTCTAGATGAAAAAGGTTACACAAATCTTATTAATTGTGCTAAAGATAATATATTCAGAAAACCAAGCTATTAGATTTTTATGAAGGTTTGTTGTCAAGTGAATTGAAAAGACAATAATATTATTTAAAGTCATCACATGAACGTTGATTTTTATTTCAATGGAAAATTAAGACAAAACCACATGGAAATAATAAGAATTGGAAATGATAATGCTTGTCTCTTGCTTTTTTTCTGAACTAAATAAGAATATGAGAAATGATTTTACCTAGTGATGAGGATGGGATAGAACAGAGAAGGCACGCACAGACTAATTAAGAAAGAACTAGATAGAAATATTTAAGTTCATTTGTTGCAATTGTTTATTGTTTAATTTTTTGTCTTAAATAGTGCCACATCTGCTAATAACAACCTTGGCTTTTGGAGTACCCGATTGCGAACCTAAATTTTAAGAAAACAAAACTTGCCAATAAAATTAAATTCAACTATGTTCAATACCTAAGCTTTCAATCTGTTTGACAATATTCATACCATCAATGACCTCACCGAAGACAACCTGTTGAAAACAAAACCACAAAGAAATAAAAACATCGAAATTCTATTGATAACATTACATGTTTGCCATCGAGCCATGATGTTTTAACAGTTGTAATAAAAAATTGCGAGCCATTTGTATTTGGACCAGCATTAGCCATAGATAAAAGACCTTCTTTTGTGTGTTTGAGTTTGAAATTTTCATCAGCAAATTTTTCACCATAGATACTACATAGAAAAAACTTACAAATATCATATACAATAAATATTGAAACAGAACAATTGACTCACCTTTTACCACCAGTACCATTACTATTCACGTTTGAAAAAAAAAAGATCATTTATGTAATATAATTTACTTTTGATGTGGTCAACTCACCCTTTAGTAAAATCACCACCTAGAAAACATACTCAATTAATTGTGCTGAAATAATATCAAAAACAAAATCTTTTACCTTGAAGCATAAATTGTGGAATTATACGATGGAATGCACTACCTTGATATCCGAAACCTTTTTCACCAGTGCACAATGCTCGAAAATTGGCTTTACAATAAAATATATTTTAATATTTTAAAACATATTAATGAATAAGTCTTCAAATTACCTGCTGTTCTTGGTACTACGTCATCATAGAGCTATGAAACGAAAAAAAAATTTCTATCAAAGAAAAGCTTTCTTTTTTTATGTTTTACTTTGAATATAATGCGACCAGCTGAGTTACCATCGATTGAAATATCGAAATATACGTTTTGATCAGACATTATTTGAATAATTTTATCAAGAAGATATTAGATCTAGAATATTATATAACATCATCATGATGAAAGTATGAGATAGTTGAGGACAACATATTACAACAAAGAAAATCTGACACAAAGTCCATTGCACAAAATTTATACAAAGACATATTTAAATCAACAAAAAGATGCGCACACATTAAGAGAAAATAGTTAGAGGAAAGAACATCTGACAACAGGCCGATTGTTAAGAAATTCAGATCATAATCAGAGAGTATACAATGAAAAAGAAAAATACAGTATAACAGATGACTAGGAGAAAAAATTCATATTGAAGTCATTAGAAAAAAAAGCGATGATTTTAATTGATATTTAATTCATTAAGTAAAATATTTGATGATTGTTGCAATGTACAAGACGGTAAATTTGAAAACTAAAGGAAAATATAATAAACTTAATTTTGATAATTATTCTTTACTTCATCACTTACACGAATAAAAATTGATGTACAATTCATTTCTTTAATTATTAATCTACATGATGAATCTTTTGCTAATTTAATTAATGTTCCAATAATAATATTCAATAAAATATCTAATTTATTATTTTCAGATATTTTTAATCGTTCACGATCAATTGTAATTAATAATTCAATTAATCTTCTTACAGCATTTTGTTCACATAAACATGAAATTATTGTTGATGATAAAGCTAAATTTTTAATTAAACCAACTGTTGCTTTAAGTATTTCCCAATGTTCTTTAATATTTTTATCTCGTAATAATTTAATAATATTTCCAATACCATAAGATTTTCTTATTATTTCACGTGCTTCATTTTCAAGATCATGACGAGCTGTTACATGTCGAAGTATACATAACTAAATGAAATTTAATACGAAATTTTTAATTGAAAACATTAAAAAAACTTTTCTTTTCAACTTACAACTACTTCAATAAAATCATCATTTCCATCAGCATTCATCATTAATTTTTGCATAAGTGTTTGTACACCATTTAATTTAACAAATAAACTTTTATTTGTTTCATTATCTGCTGTTAAATTATTAAGTATACCTAATGAACAAATAACTGATTGTTGATCATCAGTTAATAATATTGCAACTAATTTTTCTAGTAATGAATCAATATTATTCTAAAGTAGAAAAAAAAATTCATTTAGTAAATCAGAAAAAATTTGTTTATCGAATAGATAGAGCTATGAAATAAATAACAGATAATGAGAATTCTTTTGAAAAAAGAATAAACATATTAAACCTCTTCAAAATAATTTATTAAAGTAACACAAAAAAAAAAGATAGATCTCCTCCCTCAAAGATCGTGACTAACGCTAGTCATATATTTTATATCGATAATGTCTTGTAATAATATACGAACTACTTCCTTATTCCATTTTTGAAGGATTAAGTAAAAGATGCTGAGGGCATATATCCCAAAATAGATAAGAAAAAATAATCTCATTATGATTAGCAGCGGTAGGTACATCTTGTTTCATAGTATTTATTTCACAAAAATTGTGCTAACAACGTATTATCGGAAAGAGAATTGAGAACTTCGCCATGATTAGTATTTTTGCTCAATCCTGATGGTTCGCATACTAGAAACGGTTTTACTATGTATATTACAGAACATTCTTTCTTTTCGCGATAAATCAATCGAGACAGTTTTATTGAATGTAGTGCAGTTACTTTACATATCATATACAGGATATCGAAAGTAAATACAGAACATAAGGCATAGCGAACAGAATAGTATTCAAATTCGAGAAATCATCATTCACTTTAAAAACTTTTTTTTTATGGTTTTGCTTATAAAATAATATAATTATCTTCGTCAATAGATTTTTCTTTACTTTCGATATATAATTTCCTTCAATTGAAAACATCAACTATAAATAGTTGATGTATCACTTGTACAAGATTTCATATCTTCTATTGTTTGTTATATAAAATAAAATACAACATATACTCATGTCTTATCAAATTCTGTTATCTTTATCTATTCTCATCGTGAATAATATCTTACCATTCGTGTTGCTTGATTTGAAATATTTCTCATAGTAATAAGACAATTATGTCTAATGCGAATACTTCTTGTTGTTCGTAAATGTTTTTCAAAAATATTTAAACCATTTATTTGTAAAATAATATGTTTCGTTAATTCATTACCCGATGATATTATTGGTAGTAATTTTGATATTGTTAATAATAATTTATCATATTGACTTGTATCAAATATATATAAAAGACGTTGAATAAATTGTTCATTATTTTGTAGAAATATTTTTGATTTTATATTATAAGTTGACATTTTAAGTAAACTATCCGCTACTAATGTTAATAATTTATCATTTGGTCTTTCTAATAAATTGATAAATTTCTGTATACCATCACATCGTTCAATTTCATTAGATGCTTGATCTTGAAAAACAATTAAAAAATTATGTAACGTTGTTGTTACAAAGCTAACTGTCCTATCAGGTGAACTACAAATAAGAAAAAAAAACAATTTCAAAAAAACCAAATTATTTTAATAATGATAATCTTACTTGAGCATTGAAACTAATCGTGGAATTCCACCACAATCAAGAATGACACGTAAACCCTCTTGTTGTTGTGATAATGAATGAAATAAACTAGCTAATGCATGAGTTATTTTACCATCACCAATATCTTTGGAAAAGGTTTCCAATAATGTCGTAATTAACTTAAAACAAAAATAATTATCTTTGTTTTCATTGAATAAAAAAAAAAAAAATAATATTGAATTCTTACATCTCGATTTTGAATAACTTCTGATCGACTTTCACCACCTTCTCTAATTAACATATGTGTTAGTAATACAGCTTCACGTACAATAACTGAATCATCTTCCATTAAAAAATTCAATAATTCAGACATAACTTGAGAAGGAGCTGGCTTTGCGGGAGGTGGTGCTGGTTGTAGTTCAATATATTGAGGACGAGTATTTTCAACATCATTTGATAAACGAGGAGTAATATGTTCATAGACTGATGGTGATCCATGATGTATAGGACCGGTGCCTGTTGATTCAATACTACGTAATGATGCTGGTCGAGAATTAAATCCTGAATCCCGTTGTGATGGACATGCAGTTGAAACAGAATATGGATCATCAAGCCACATTGTTGTATGACTGTCAGGATTTATGGGTTGTAAATGATTTGAAATAATTGGATTTTGAGAATGATGTGGTGAAGGCTTACATGGATAAGGAGCTTGATGATGCATTTGAGCTGAATAATCCACGATAATTATCTAAAGCTGTAAAAAAAAAGAACTGTTGAGGCACATTAATTCTCTTATTAATATACTATTTTGTTCTCAGGAAAGGTATGATTACGTGTGCATTATTCTTACCTAATAGAATTCAGTATGGGTATATATAATTCACTCGAGAGAAAGAAAAAAGCGTAGAAGATGAAAATGAGATGAAGAACATGAGAATAAATGACATGTCGGTCGCGCTTTGTCCGTTTTAAAACAGATATTCATTGCGCGTTGTCTTCTATCAACCAATAGAAACATTTTTGTGTTTACTGGTTACTATCGAATCCTCTCTATTTTATTGCTTATCAGCATGCTTATCTCCATTGAAGTTGTGTTAGTTTTTTCGATATCAAAAATAAATAAAGCACTATCGAGATAAGTTTGTTAGTAGAAAGTGAACAAATTATTTGAATTATGTCGCCATCTATCAAATACAAAGTTTTTATACAACTGTAACATCAAGTTGTACACACAGTCGATTAACCACAATGAAAATAGAATATACTTATATGGTGTTCTTTTTGATTTATTACTTTTTCATTCTTATCTCGTACACGCCTATCGGTAGTAATACGAAACAAGTCTTTTTTTTACATTTACTGATTTAATCGAAGTTTAATTTCTATCTGTGATAAAGTTAATTCATTATTTAACAGTTCATCAAAAGTATTATATAGGAAATAAATATTATTGAATTCTTTTTTCTTTTTTTCTTTTAATTCTATCTAGCGAAAAAAAAATGATAGAAAAAAACCAGTGCTCGTGTATGTGTTACATGAAATCAACCATCACGCAATTGATTGCTACAAAATAGAACACATTCATAGGGTTGAAAAAAAAAGGATGCAACAATTCTTAAAAAAAACAATAATATATGAGCATTTTTTCATAAACTATTTCAGATTTTGATCAATTTGTAATTCACCGCAATCAGCAATTGTGATCTTTTTTTGGGTTCGACCAGATTGTGAACCTAATGTTTCAACTTTTTTCACAGTTTCCATACCATCAACGACTTCACCAAAAACAACCTTTAAAAAAAAATCTCTAATCAATAAACGAATATTTGCTATATAGACTACATACATGTTTACCATCAAGCCACGGGGTTGCTACTGTTGTAATAAAGAACTGAGAACCTAAAAATAAATATTTAGCATTACTAACTATTTTGGAACAAAATACTAATTACCATTTGTATTCTTGCCAGAATTAGCCATTGAAAGTAGACCTTCTTTTGTATGTTTTACCAAAAAACTAAATCAAATAATATACAGTTTTTTTTGTTCTGTGAAATAAAATAAAAATGACTCACTTTTCATCAGGAAATTTATTTCCATATATACTATTATCATGAAATAAAATAGTCAATCAAATATAAAATAATTGTTGGGATTATTCTTACCTATAACCACCAGTACCATTACTAGAAGAAAAAAGAAATTTTTCTTTTTTTCAAAATTTTTCTATAAAAATAAATTTACTAACTGTCGTTCAAAATCTCCACCTTGTAGCATAAATTTGGGAATTACTCGATGAAAGATTGAATTTTTATAACCATATCCTTTTTCACCAGTACATAATACTCGAAAGTTTTCTATTCATATAAAAATTTATCACTATTTTTTTTTTTACATCAACAATTTTTTCTTATGCATACCAGCTGTTTTAGGAACAACATCATTATAAAGCTAATTTAAAAAAAAAACAAACAAACTATTAATAAATAGTAACACTCGAAAGCTTATTGAACTAACTTGAAATGTAATTCGACCAAGTGGTTTATCATCAACATTGACATCACTAAATGTTGACAAAAAAGAAATTATTAAAAATAATCATCAAATAAATCATTACAAAAAACATCTTGATCGAACGGTAGCTTTTTTCGATGCTCCACCACTAAATATTCCAAGTGTACGTTGAAAACCACAAGATATCTGTGATAATTTGAGAATAAATTTAATAAATCCAATTAAGAAAAAAACAAATATATATATAAAACCTGAACATTTGATGTCAAAACTGTTCGAAGAAGACTGCGTGGAATCATTATTATTAGTTCTTTTTCTCTTTTCAAGCAATCTACAAATACAATGGAAGCACAAAAAATTCATTTATTATCACTATTCAAATCATGCAAAAAAAAAAAGATAAGCAAGAGAGAGTAATCAAACAAATAATATACAAAAAAAAACAGAAAATTTAAATTCGCAAAGAATAAATGTGTCGATTAAAAGAGATATCTAATCCTCTGAGATAAACATGTATATATATATGCAGATCAATCCGAAAATCTACAACTAAACTTTTCTTTACAAGTCAGTATCAAACCAAGCTGCCATTTGTGGATTATTATGAGATGGTGGTGGAGTTTGATGATGAGCTCCAGAACGAGGTGATGCTTGCATCATATCTCGATCGCCAACTAACACTTGATTATCCATTAAATTTCCAAGACCACTACCACCTGCACCTTCTGATGCATAATAATTCATCGTTGGTACATCATGAATAGGTGGTGGAGTTGCTCGATATGGATTTGAATAAGAGCCACCAGCTGAACCATTGGCTAAACCATAATGCTAAAATAAACGAATATAGTTTTTCATTAAGTAATCTTTCTTTTGAAAAAAAAAAGAATGAATTCAACGATACTACAGATTATTTGAGAATGAAAGCTATTACAGATATTTCATTAGCATTATATAGAGGTAGATATCACAATACCTATACTATTTTCTAATGATTCATATTGAATAGTATTTAGTATTAAGTAGTGTTAGTATCAACATTAGTCAATACCAGTGCCAATCAATACTAATACCTCAAAAATGTATCGGCATTTGTGATATATCTTTATAGACGAGATAACGTTAGTTTATTAATCTATATAAATACTCGTTTAATGAGCATCTTCAGAGTGATAATCTGAATAATTCTTAAGCCTTTAACCAAAGTACTCCATTTGAAGAAAGAGACTTCATCCACAAAATGTTCGACTTTCTGCTAGTTTTTTCAACATGTTCTACCAATTTTTTATAGTTTCGTAGTAGTTTTAAATAGAAATCAGATTTCGAAACGTTTTTCTTTTCTTCAATAGAAGGTGAAATAAAAATAATTAGAAATTGTCATTGCAAGATGACTAGGATTGAGGATGGTCACGGTATGTTTTGCTTCATCGTCTCATTACAAAATCGACAATGTTGTTTTAAATAATTGTTCGATTTACGTAATGGTGATTATTTATAGATGACTCCATTACAAAGTTATCAATGCTTGATATTAGCATGAAATAGATTGTTTTGTAGAAAATTTTCACGATATTGAGTTAAATGGTAATGTTTCGTTTCATTTTTGTAAAACGATATAAAACTCGCAGAAGAATACTGAAAAAATTCTTTGTTGAATTCAAAAACTACACACTTAAAAATTGATGACTAGCATTATTACACTACTAAACACGGTGGAAAAACTCTACAACGACAAAGTAACCTATGATGCAAAAGTAGCTATCACTATTTCGATACATGGTTCTCCGCTGAGGAATAGCGTTGAAATTTTATTCGCTCTCGGTTAAAAGAATAAAGTCTGAACTCCAAGAAAACATAGGAAATCTGTTATAGAGAACAAAAAAAAAATAAGTTCGATGCGAGAGAGACGCTTGGAAATTGCAAGAGCGTTTTTTGGTCATGTTAGGTATCGAACTTTTTCTCTCAATCAAAAATTAATTCCAGGAAAAGACTTAGCTTTCTAGAGTGGAGTCTTTACTGAAGAAAAAAGTACTCTCAATAACGTTTCTTTATGAAGAACCATGGATCAAGATGTCTATAATGCATTTTGCATCGCAGATAATGTCTAACTAATCAATATTCATCATTACTCATTTACAAGCAATAAATTACAGAAAAAAAAAACTTGTTTTTCTTTTTTAAATGAATATTAATTTACATTATTCATTAAATGTTCATCTCGATACAAAGCTGTTGTAACATCTTGTGATAAACGATTTTTCATATCATATGGTTTATCATCAGATAAACGAAATAAAATCGCTGCAGCATATGTAGCTAGAAAAATACATAAACATATTTTTTTAAAATTAATTTAAAATTAATCAAAAGAACTAACCAACACCCTCATCATTTGATTTAAGTAATTCAGTTAATTTTTGTGTACAATTTTGTTGTTCAATTATATCAGCACATAAACGATCATTAACAAGTTCACATAAAACTCCTGCAGCTGCACGTTGAATAGGTACACTTGATGGTGGATAAAGAAGCTATTTATATTTTAATGAAATTAATTAAAAGAAAAAAAAAAGAAAGATGTTGAAAAATTTTCTTACTCGAACAAATAATGGTATACAATCAAGATCACGTATAATAATTCGATTTTGTTGATCTTTAGCAATAATATGTAATGCACTAACACATGCTTCAAGTATATCATCCATACGTATATAATTATCAATTAATTCAACATTTGGTTGTTGTCTTTGTAATTCTTGATGACTTCGAACAAGTAATTGTGCTAATTTTTGTATTGAACCTGTTTCACGTAAAACTGGAAGATTATTTGGTGATAATGCTAAATTCCTTATTAAACTTATTGTTGATTTAATAATAGGCCATGAATATACTGATGGATTAAGTAAATCAACAATAGGTAAAAGACCATTTACATGTCGAACAGCATCTTGAGCTTCACTTGCATGTGAATGTCGAGACGTGATATGTCTTAGAGCACATATAGCTGGCTCTAAAATTTCTTCTTTATCATGACCTTGAATTATTGTATTTATAAGTGCATTAACACCATTGGATTGAACAACAGCCATTTTATTATATTGATTATTACATGTTAAATTTGATATAATACCAACTGCACATGAAGCAGTTATTAAATCATTTGTTTGTAATAATTCAATAAGTAATTGAAGAAGTGAATCAAGATTTTCCTACGAAAAAATAAAATTATGCATTTGATTTAAATTAAAAAAAATAATTTATACGAACTAATTTCACAGCTTGATCGGATAAATTTCGAAGAATTTGTAAACAATTTTGTTGTACACGTAAACTTATTGGTTCATATAATTGTTTTTCAAGTATACGAACTGCATTTTTTGATATCATAACTAATTTTATTGATGGACTAACAGATAAAACACGAAGAAGACGTGTTGTTGTCCATAAAAGTTTTTCATAATCCGTTAATTCTAATATACGTAATAATTGTTGTGGACCATTACTTGATTCAATAATAATCTAAATAAATCTTAGATTTTTGATTTTTTGTCTAAAGCTTCTTCTTTTTTTTTGTGGTTTTTAGAAAATTTTTTGAAGAAAAAATAAGTAGCCTCAAAATGCATAACCAAGAACAAAAAAGCTGTTTTTATCAATGATGCAAAACTTACCGTTGAAAAGATTCTGAATGAATGTGAAAGAAAATTAAATAAAACTAAGCAAAAAAGAAAGATTTTTGTTTTCATTCATTTACCTTAACTTCTTCATTATTAAATGCTAACATATGAAGACAATCAGTAAGTATAGCTAGAAATTTTGGATTTGTACTATTTAGTAATCCAACCATTTTTTGACAACCACCACAACGAAGAATTTCTAATTTTGCTTGTTCTAAATGTAATAATAAATTATGTAATGTTGATAATGCATAATTAACAACAGATTCAATTGATGAACTATGAATCCCAAAAAAAAAAAATCAATTATTAAAAAAATTTTGTTTGAAAATAAAGAAAAATGAATAAATTTACTCTAAAAGTCGAACAAGTAGTGGAATAACACCTCCTTTGAACATAAGATGAAGACCTTGCTTTTGTTGAGATAAACAATGTAAAACACCTGCAACACCGCGACGTGTTTCATCATTAGCACGTGGATTTGATATAGCTTGAATTAATGCTTGAATCATTGGTAATGTAGATAATGCTAATCGACTAGCTTCTTTTTTTGCTAATGTATGTAAAACTAAAGCTGCTTGTCCAGCAACAATTGGATCATCATCATTAAGTAAACGTATTAATTCAGGTAAGGCTTTTTCAGTTATTTCAGCATCTTCTTTATAATTAATTATATCAATGACAGCATTTTTTAATAGTTGAGATGGTTCAGATAATTTTTGTACTGCTGTTGGTTGACCATTAACAAATTGTGTTGAAGGCATTGATAATGATAAACCATCTGCAACACCATCTTCAAGTGTTTCAGGAAAGATAGCAGCTCGAATACGTTGAGCACGTGTTGAACTCAATTGAGCATTCATTGAATCGATATGTTCTTGCATCATATAGTCATCCATTCCACCATTACGTGAATGAGTTCGATGACTATAACCATTCATTGAACTTGCCATTTGATATGATTCGTATTCCATGAGGAAAAAATTCACAAAAAAAAAGCTACAGTAATAGTTTAACGGCAGTCGAAAGAACAATCAAATGATTGAGTTGAATAAATGTTAAACAGTAAGCTTATTCGCCATATTGTTTATTTGATAAAATTTTTTTTTTTGAACACGTTAAATAAATAAATGTTCATATATTAAATTGAAAAAAAGAATTTTTTTAATTCTTTATTATTTGACTGGAAAAAAACAATTGAGAATAACCTTTAAAATGATGTAAAAAAAATGCCAATTATTAGAATAGATGGCGCACATTGATATAATGACATTAATATGTGTAGAATGGTCATTTCAATGGACTATTCGATAAGACGACGTATGTTTAGATTTCCGAAAAAAGAAAATTACTAAAATTTTTGTAGTTGCCATATACGTGTCAATAGCAACACAATCATAGTGAGAAATTTTGTACAGGCGAAAATCACTGAGTTACAAAAATTTCTGAAATTTGGAAAATAGAATTAGTTTTTGAAGCTGTGTCACTGAAATTTCTAGATGAAACAACTAAGCGAAGAGTTAATATATATTTTGTTTCGATAATTTAGAGTCGCATTAAGGTTGAGTTCATATTGCAATTACGATGTAAGCACAAAGAAGCTTGATTAGACAATGAAATAGAGAATAGATGCTACTTATGAGTAGAGTAAAACCTAGGATCAAATTAATGTTAGTCTATTAGTAGCCAAGCAATTTTATTTTAGACAAATGAATAATTTTGCCATGATCATGTTTCGAGGAAATGAAGATTCAATAGCGCGTGTATCAGATTGAGTTACTCGATAACTATTGAATTTTTCTACAAGAACATCGACTAAGACTAAGCACCAAACTATCAGAACCGTTATACATTAAAGCTCAACTAAATCCGAAAGGCAATAGTGAGATTGGCTGATTGCTGTCTTTGACTATGAACATAGATGGGACGTTCGATGGATAATTATCTCCTATATAGAATCGAACAGAGACAAGCAATGATTGTCCCTGTTGTAGAAAAGCACAAATCAACATTTACACTGCATAGCTTTTCAGACAAATGAAAATTATCGTTATAACTGAATTGATGAGTTAATTGTGAAACTGGAAATTTGTCTATGATTTTTGAAACTGCTTCTATTGGAAAACTTGAATCAATATCATTAAACTGCACTTAGACTTCGAAATATTGCAAATGTTTGATTTCGACTTTTTTTTCATATTATTGTTGGAACATATAAATACATCAATAATACTGTATATCTACCAGATAATGTCTTATTTCTGAATGCTAATACATTCGTTTTTGTCACTAGTAATCTTAATTTTCAGAATACCTTGTTTCAATCGAGCAGAGAAAAGTATACGACGTTGATTCATTTTAAAAAAATCGATGTAAGACACATGGTATTACTGGAACATTCACCAGCACATTTCACTTGTACCTTAATGTGTGCTATGATATGAAATGTAAAATAAATTTCATTCGATTTGAATCTTGCATTTATGTATACCGTCACAGTCAATGATGCGCGAAATAAGAAAAATGATACCATGTACAACACTATGTACAAGAAACGAAAGATAAGCGTTAAAAAATAATGCTCTTTGTTTCCATATGTCGAGATCAAACTTTTTTAGTTTGTTTTTTTTCTTAATAAAAAAGAAAAAAGAACTGTCATTACTGTATAACAGTACAAAAGAATGTAATTTGTCCTAAAGGAATATTCTTTCATATCAAACTATGGCGAGTAATTGAAATCAATTTCTACTTCAAAGAGTACTATATTACCTTCTTAAAAGAAAGAGCTTCGTTTTTGATGTTTATCTATGATGAAAAATATTTCACATGAAGAGTAATATTAGTATTTGAAAATCTTAATTTATTAAGTCAAGTTCAACAAAGGTAGATATACGTCATTTCATAATCATCGGTAGTTGGTCATCTTATAAATCTAATGGTGTACAATTAATGCATAAAGTAAAAAAAAGCTATACTTTATATTCCATTATTTCTCGTTAGTATTTCAATTATAAAATGTGTAAGAATGGACTTTGTTAAAATCAATGGACAAACATGAGTAAATTCTCATGATTTAATATACTTGGTTAGAGTTGTTGCAGTTGTAGTTTAACGATTCACTTGATAAAATATTCCACTACATCTAATATATAAAGAAGAGTATTTGCTTGTGTTTGTTTGTTCTTTGTGCATTTGAACCCTGTGAAAGCCAGTGCAACCAAACTTTGCATGGTTTTCTCTTTCGTCCAGGGAAAGGTCAAGGACTATGTTTCGATACAAAATTTTGATCTCGTTTTTCGCTTGGCAAAAGCAAAAAAATGCCTGCTATTTTCTGCGTTTTTTTGGAAAAGTTTTCGCTAACCCACCCTCCAAATTAGGATCGCCACCAGCCTCTAGGGAAAAAAATGAGTTGCGGACTCAAAAATCTCCCTCCTTTCTCATTCGTGAACTCTACTCAGGCTCCTGAACGCTGCGTATCGAAAATATCTGTCGTGATCTGTGAAACAGGGTGGGATTCACTTTTCCTGCTATGAACTTCAACGGGCATTTTCAATCGTGTTTCACAAAATATTAAGAAGAGCAAAACCTTAAAATTTAGAAATGTCAAAATCTTTGAGAAAGTTTTAAAATGAAAAGGATTTTAAGTGCATTTGCCGACATCCAAGATCGGTAACTTATAGGAACCCATAAGGCTACTGTTTTCCAATTTGTTATAAATGATATGTTGAATTTCCTCTGGCAACGCCGAGTACTTTGGCTAGTGATTAATAAAGAAGGAAATGATCTATTTACTGAAAAAGTGTTAAACTAACTTTCAACAACCCATAAATTATTTCTTGAATGACTACCTCGTAATAAAACATAATCATTTGTCAATGAACAAAATTTTATTTTTCTATATTAAATTTCCTTCAAACCGATTTAAATTATTATTCGATGGTTCACATTCAATTTTAGCTTAGTAAAAAACAATTTACTAAGCAAAATGAATAAATAATTACTATTCATTTTTGTATTCAGATTCAGCGAACATATAAAATATAGTGTACTTTCTATTGATGAGATTCCTAGACACTTTTTACTAATATTTTCTGATAATTCTTTTGTATCCTCGTGTACACATGTTTTTAATAATTAAGTTTAGTCTTCCCGTATTTGCTTATCTTGAATCTTTATTTTATATCCTTTTTATAGATGTGTATTAAAAGAAAATGCTGCTTAAATAAAAATACATTTAGTAAAAAGAGCGCAACATAGTTTGATCACCAGAATCAAGTCTTTTAAAACAGTCCACCATTTGTTTCAGTACAATTTTGTATGGATAATCTTCTGGATAGGTTGTTTGTTCACATTTATGAATAAGTGCTCTTTGATCTGCAATTGTCCGTAGATTATGATGAGCAATCTCGTGTCGCTCCGATACAATTTTTCTTAAATCTATTAACTTGATTGCTGCATTTGTTTCGTTTTTTAATTCTTGTTCAATAGTTGAGCGACCATTGAATGATTTTGTACTTGATCAGTAAAAACTTCTTTTTTATCTACTTTTAATAATCGTATAACTTCTGTTTCAATTTTACACCATTCATCTATACAAAAAAGTGATAATTTTTAAAGTTGTGATCATTAATTTACTTGTAAAACGAATCCATCCTGTGAGGTGAAGAGTTTTTTTACGAATTACTTTATTGACGTAATAAAATTGAAATAATCTTACTACTTCATAAGCATCGATTTGAATATCTCGCAGTAGTGATTTTGATTCAATATTATCTAATCGTTTTTGTAAATAATTAATTGTTTTTTGTTGTTCTTCTATTTGTTTTGCACTTGTACCTACATAACGTTTTAAATTTTGGATCTCTTCGGTAATGGACTTGAAAATATTTTCAAATCCCTTTTTAACATGAACATCAATACCCAATGTAGATAGAATTTATTCGATATAATTGTAAATGTCATTATCTAATGACGTTTTTTGAATATTTTCAAAAATAGGTATACATGATTGGAATGCTTTTTTTTTTTCTTCATTATCATTAGAAATATTGATGATATTATATTGTTCTAATATATTGCAAATACGATTAAATTGTTGTTTAAATAAAGCAGTTACAAGTGCAGAAGAATGACACTGCGGCACCCACACTCTTTGATGTGCTCTACCAATTACACCGATTAATGTAGAGGGTGCCATTCTTCTGCAGTTGTACAATAAAACATTCATTGAAATAATAGTATATAATAAATAACAATATGTGATGAAAAATATTATGCACTGAAGAATAATAATTATATGATGAACAACATTAATACATAAAGAAAAATAATATACGATGAATGACTTATCTGAAATATTTAATGAAAAAAAAATTATCATCCGGTTTGCGATAAACTGTATAGACTTGTATTAACATACTTTGTTCGTCATTGAGCCATGTTACATAGTCTCTAAACGAAAGACAAATTTACGAGAGGGTGCTGGTTGCTAATGTAACCTAAAATAGAGACCGTGAGAGGACATACTGTTTTTGCTCACTCTTGTTTCATCACATGTTCGGCCTTGCCAGCACTCAGATTAGCTACTTGTCTCAGAGCATTTTATATGTTCTACTTACAATTGATCAATAATCGTCACTTAATAGTGGCTTTCTCTGACAACGGTAGCTAAATATTCGATAGTTTCAGTGTAAATACTCCATCAAATGAACAACGCTTGATGAAAATGATGAAGATTGATTATTTTCCAATAACAATCAATTCAACAAAAATTTGACTTTTTTCAGTCTGAAATTGTGATTTTGTATGTTTTCCATTCTTTTTGTTTTGTTTGAATCCATCCAATCAATCAATCTATTACTGAGTTTTAATTATAAAGTTCGAACTGATCAGATCTTTTTATTGAAATCGATACAATTCAAAAAAAACCTTGATTGATCAAAATAAAATCAAT